CCGGCCTCCGCCGGCCGGGTGGCTGGGGAGCACGGCCGGGCCGGGCCCCCTTTCTCCCCCGCCGTCCCTCCAGCTCCGCGCTGGCGCTCCCTGGCGCTGGGTCCTACCCGTGTGGCTCCTCCACGGGTCTTCGGTGTCGCTTCACCAGCATTAAAAGGTGAATTAAACAAGAATAAAACGTGGGTTCTGAATTTGGCCCAGCCCTGAGCCTCAGCAGACTATCGGCCGCTGCTTTGAATGTTCAGAAACCTCAAATATTCTGCCCAGAAAAGATACAGCATTGATTGGGATCGAGTTATAATTGCAATAACAAAAGCAAAATATCTGGTTTGTCAGAAAAATTACAGCGATGCCAGGAATGAAAACGAAAGGGTTTGCTGCCCTCCCCACCATCCCCGCCTCCCAGTGCCGCCGCAGGAGCAGCACTTGCCGAGAGGAGGTGGCCAGGAGCCGGTGACCACAGGGTTGGCACGGCCGGGGGGAGCGAGAACAAGAACTGCCTGTCCCCTCCAGCCCTGCCAAGGCCTCCAGTTACTGCACCGGCCCTGCTGGGAGCCAGGAAAAAGCACAGCAACCCTTTGGCCACATTTCAGGCTTGTCTGCGGGCCAAGGGCGTAACGTGAAGGCTCCCCGTCACAGGGATCCCTACGGATCAGGTCAGGCTCTCTGCCAGCCGCAGCCAGCGCGTCACTTTTGTGATCGAGCTGCGAAGGTGCGGGAGGGTGGCTCTGCAGAGAGCACGGGGAGGGACGCCGTGCTTGCTCTGGGTGGCCTCTGCTGGAAAAGCTACAGAGACTGCTGGCTTCGGGCGCTTGAGTGGATTTAGAGCTGTGCGTCCGTTCGGACGCGTCTGTCGATCTCGGCGTGGCGGCCGCGGCCGTTCATGCTCGGGGCAGCTGCAGGCACACGGACTGAGGGCTGCCTGCCGGGGCAGCCGCTCCGGAACTGTGTATGGCTGGAAGCCGCGTCCCTGCATCGCCTTCTGGAAAGCACCCTTTGGATTAGACTGAAGGCTTCAGTGAAACATCGGCTTAAGTGATGTTTTTTTAAAAAGAATTAGCAGTAATAGTCTTGAGAACATCAAAAAATGGAACTTGCTTGAAAAATATTCGCTTTTTCAGCTCTTTTGTCTCAATCAGAGCAATAGAACTTAATGTCAAATTCAGTGCGAAGCAGTTAGACCCTATAGAGAGACCTCTGTTTCAACCGAACCAAAACCTCAGCTTTTCAGAGGTGTTTGTGAAAATTTTCAAGATGTTGCCTTGCTTTGTCCTGATTCAGGCCACCTGAATCACTCCTTTATCTTCATTGTCAAAATTTAATAGGGCAGAAAATCTGTTTTTCAGCTAGCTCTGCAAATTCTAGCTGTGCTGAACAGTATCCAAAGTTACATGAGAACTCTTCTCTGAATAGCCTATTTATTCACTGGGATTAATTCGTAAGTTCTTTGGAAATTTTGGAAGAAGGGGAAGGAACGGCATTTGCAAGGAATCGGAGAGGTGAGCAGCCCCGACTGAAGCACCGCTGGGGTTGTCTGAGGAGCCGGCACCGGTGCCTGCGGACTGCGGCTGAGCAAGCCCGCTGCGGCCGTGAGTCCCTGCAGCGCCGTGGGCTTCAGCCCAGGCACCGGAGCGGGCTGGCAGAGCTCAGTCCAGTGTTTGCAGCTTTCCCATATAACCTCCCGTACTCCTGAGCGACCCCTGAACGCGCCAGATGAAGAGCGTTAAGGAATCGCCTCTTGCAGAGCACGCTCTGTGCGGGCGCCGGTGCCGGCCAGGCAGCGGGGTGTTGGCACACCGGTGGAGAACGGTGCAGGGAGGAAGAGCAAAGAGCAGCCGAGCGAAGGAGCAGAGCCTGATGCAAGCTGGGGGCTGCATACCCACGCTCAAGAGAAACATCTGGTCTGCGCTACCCAGGCTGCAGTGCTCACTCGTCCTCTCTCGCTCCCCACCCGTGCGAGGTAATGGCAGTTCAATTAAAAACAGCTTAATGATGGTGTTCCTGCCGGGGTTCCCCGCTTTGGGAGACCACGTCTGCGTTTCCCCATTGATGACAGGTACCAAGACAACCAACCTGGATGGAAAACGGGAAGAGTTACCTCAGGGTGAGGCACCGAGCGCATTGCGTGTACTGATGGAGTCGTTCCTGGGGCCGGCCGTGGGGCGCGTGGCAGGCTGCTGGAGCCAGGGGTCCATGGCGGGCTGACGGAGCCCGGGCCCCGTGCCCCAGCTGCGAGGGGACCAGCTGGAGTCGGGATGGGACCACCAAGCGCTTGCATCAGCTGCGCACGGTGGCTGCTCACCTCCTTCACAGTGTAGCAACGGGAAGGGATTCTGCAGTTGTTATTGTTGGGAGCTGTTGTTTTGGGGATTTGCAGAACAGGAACATTAGCTACGTCCAAAAAAAACCCAAAAAAGAACGTGCCTCATCCAGCCTTGAACGTTTCTGGAACGAGCTAGTTTCAAGCTTCTCTCAGTAGAAGAACATATGTAGTGAACGACACGTGCCTTTACACACCCCTCCCAGGCCTATGACATGTCATCTCTGCTTCACGGTTAAGTGGACAGTATTAATCAGTGTCCTGTGAATTCAGCAGCTTAACTGCAGTGTAGCAACCTCTCCTCTTTCTTGGGAATTTATGTCTAAATTTGCATTTCGGTGCTGTTTTCCAGCTTGTTAACGTAGCCATGGCAAGATGCGTCACTGTGGAAAACGCTACTCTAGCTTTTGAGGCGTGCGATGTTAACAACAAGGTAAGGATACCCTGCATACTGAGTATGTGGTGCTATTTTTAGTGCGCGGCATAGAGCTCCTGGACCTCCCCGTGGTGACCTGCCCTCTCCCCGGGAGCTAGTGCAGTCCTTCCCACCGGGGGGCACGGCCAGCAGTGCTGGGAGCAGCGAGGGGCAGGAATTGCCTCTGTGTGCAAAGCCTGTAACCAAGCAACAACCCCAGAGCCAGCAAATTCATCTGGAATAGGAAAGTTCGATAACGCCATGAGCCTGAATGTGAAAACGGGGAGAAATATTTAAGTACAAGCCAGTGTTCTGTGCTGCGCTGCTGCAAAGCGTCCAGCAGCACTCTCACTAGATGGGAAGCAGCTGCTGTGGACAACCTCTCCCTTCTTCTACAGGCAGCCTTTCCTAGGCAGCTCCCCGCTAATTGCTCACCGCTGGCCCAGGCCAGCGTGCGGGTCGGGGCCCTGTGGTGTACGGGGCTTTATCCGCTTGCACCCCAGCACCAGAGTGCGGCCAGGGAGGTGGCAGCGCAGAGGAGCGCGCAGCAGTCGGGTGTGGGGTCTGGGCTGCTGCGGCGGGAGTCGCTCCCAGAGCCTGCGCTGGGGCTGTCCTGAGCTTTTTAGCTCTGCAAATCCATAGGAAAGGTCTTGCCAGGGATCATGGCTTTCCTCATCCCCTGGTCCTGGGTGAGGGCAGGAGGAAGATGAGGAGAGCCTCTGCCAGCTGCTTGCCAGCCCTGAGCAGCCAGCCCCACCGGGGGAAGGCAAGTGGGGTCACAGCTCTCCCCATTCTCTCCCCACAGAACCAAAAGTTCAACTACACCTGGCTGAGGCTGATCCAGCACGGAGAGCTCTGCGTCGCCCCGGCCGGCACTACGGGAGCGCTGGGCCTGCGCCGCTGCGAGGGCAGGAGCCGCAGCCTGACCTGGCTGCACAGGTCGCTGGCCGCCTTCCAGCCGGAGCTGGTAAGTGAAGCGCTGGCGAGGGCAGCCCCCGCCACGGCCCGTGATCCCTGGTTTGGGTTAGCGTGCCAGCGTGCAAACCGATGGGCAGCTGCAGCCCGGTGCAAGGTGTGGGGTGTACCCCGGCCCTCTGGTCCGGGCTTTGCCAAAGCCGTCTTTTCACCTGAAGTTAAGCGTTGGTCCCCCGGCACCACTGCCTTTCCTCCGGGGAGCGGCCATGCGCACCCTGCCCTTGGGTTGCATCGGTCCAAGCGATGTGCAGCCCGGCACCGCCTGCCCGGGGGCTGCGGACATGCCGGTCATGCCGAGGCATTTGCTCCGGCAGGGCTCTGCTGCTGCCTGCACGGCAGTAACAAAACATCCCGGTTTTACATAGAAACCATGGATAGCACTTACATGGAGATGACTTGATATTGATTGCCGTTCAGCTCACAGTGGGGTTTTTAACAGAAAGTATGTATGAAAAGGAAAAGAATGGATACTTACAGTTATTACCTGCATTACAAAAAGCAAGAATCCCGACTATATCTCTGTCACCCTGCTGTAAGTAGTTGTCCAAAATGCTATGAAATGGCATACTTTATATTTAAGAAAGAAAAAATGTAGCTAAGTGATACGCTCATCATATCGACAAGCTTCCATTCCTCTTTAGTCTGAAAAAATAAAACTTGCAAAGCCAGAATGCTGCAGTGCCAAGGCTCACAAAGGCCAGGGTATTTTGTGAAAAATACATGAAAATTGTCATCCACTTAGGAGTCCCAACCACATTATCAGTGCACGGGCAGTTTTTGTCACCTGTTCCAGCCTGAGCTGGCCTCCAGCTGGGAGTTGGATGCATTTGGTGGTCCCCGCCGGCACAGGGGACTGGGCTGCCGCTCCCGGCCGCCGCAGGGGACAGGGTCTGGCCGCCCGAGGGCATGGGCACCCACACGCTCCCTGGGACCGGCGGCCCCGGGCAGCGTGGTTGCATCGGCCGTTGCTGGTGCCAGCAGGGCAGCTCAGCGGGTGGTGAATGCTGACCCAAGGAATGGCAGTCCTTTACCTTCCTCTGCTGTCACCGTCATTGGGTCATATTAATGATGTGAAGTGTATTTACTGTATGCACAAAGGTCCAACTTTTGCCCAGACAACACTCTACATGTCAGTTCAGGAGCATTTCACCTAGGTGTTAACCAAACGATCATAAGAAATGCTGCAGTGCTAGGCGGTGACACAGAAATGTCCCATCCCCTTGGCAGCACTTGAGCATCGCCTTGCTGGCCACATGGGTCAAGTAGATAAAGCTGAGTAGATGTGAAAAGCAAAAGGATGGAGATCAGACTCTTCATTCTTTCCTAATCCAATTTACTGCCCCAGCATTTGAACTTCAGTGCTGAATTACCTAACATCCTCTTCAGCGCAGTCAATGTGCTTTGAGTTCATCAGCCGAGAAACTCAAAAATACAAAAACCAGTCTCCTGCCGTACATTCCCCTATATTGCAAATACCATCTGGAGTGATTTCCTCTGCATGGCGGCTACCTCTTGGACAGCCAGAGAACTAACCTTCCCAGTGCCAGTGAAGGAGAAGCCGCGAAGCACAGGAGGTCTGGTCTGCTCCTGGCTCAGCAGCCGGTGCAGGCTTTGGCTCCCACCCGAGAGTCCCTGTAAGTCAGTGAAGAGATCTCGCGTATCGGGGACGTGCAAAAAAAGGGCACACCGTGAAGAATCACACTTCCTCAGTGGAGAAATAGAGCACCTTACAGCAGCTGCTGCCCGCGTCCCGCTGCCTAAAGCCCTCTCTCTCTCCCCTGCAGACGGACCACATCGTCTCGGAGCACCTCCAGCAGCCGGTGTGCTTGGAAGTGGATCCTGCTCACAAAGCCCTGAGGGTAAATGCCTGTGACTCCGCAAATCCTTATCAAAAGTGGCAGTTTGGCAATTACTATGCAGACTGAAGGGAACGCAGTTGAACCAGAAAGGCTGTGTTTTCATCTTGTGAATTCAGCAAGGACATCTGTGCAACTTACGACAGCAATTACAAAACTGGAAGTTCATTTCCAAATGATAATTGAAATCCGTAATTTAAACCAGCATACTGAGAGATCAGAATACCAAGAGCAGCACATGGGGTTTAACTATATCTGAAACAGATAGGCGTGTTTTTCCCTCGCTGTGGGAGACTTTGGCAAAAACTCAAATAATTTTCTGTATTATTAAATGGAAATATTTTCTGAAGTCCCCCATCATACCGTAAGCAAACCTTCGTCAGTTCCCCCCGGACAACAGCATAAGCTACAGAAATACTTCCAGAGCTCTGTAGTCTGTAAACAGCAAATTGGGCTGCTTATTCTTCCACAGCCTGAGAAGATGGAACTTTATTGACCAATGCATTAAAAAAATCCATCCGACATGCCCGTGCTGCGTCTGGCTGCGGGATCCTGCCTTGTGGGACCCGTTGCCTCTGACAGATGAGTATCACGGTTCCGTTAGGAATCGATCGCTTATCGAAAAAGCCTTCTTTTAATAATGGGAGGCAAATGTGGGTCGATAAGCCGCCCAGCAGACGAGGTAAAGCGGGCGCTGTGAAGAAGCAACGAGCATGCCTTGCCTGCGCCCTGTGGACAGCCAGGACACGTGTGCCTTGCTTTCCTTGGAGGTGAGAGGAGCCACCGGGGGCTTATCCCGCTTCTTGCCGGCAGCACGCACCAGGAGCCAGCTGGGGAGCACCTCGTCCCAGGGCAGCCGGGCTGTCCCTGCCCTGGGGCTGCCAGGGCCCAGCCGTGTCCCCGAGCCCCCATGGCTTTTTCGGGGCTCCTCCAGGACCACTGCTGCTTTCCTGGGCCCCCGGCTGGCCGTGCCGGTGCCTGTGCCAGAGCCTGGTGATGCTCGGTACAGCCCCAAGCAGGGGCTTTCCCAAGGGAAGCGTTACCCGCTGTCAGCGCAGTCCGGGCAGCTCTCCCCATCGCAGCATCCCCCCACCATGGGCGGAGGGAGGGCAGAGACCTCTGGCAGGGCGTCTCACAACCCAAAACTTCTACCCGCTGGTGCTCAGGATGGATGAAAACACCCGCTGAGGTCAGTGAGGGCTTTACCTCAAAAAGGGCTGCAGAACACAAGTGTGTGTGCATGCACACGTGTGTGTACACACATTTCACAGGGACTGAGGTGAATGCAGCGCGATGAGACCTTGCCCGGCACCAGCCACCGCACAGCCCAGGCTGCTCCGCACACCAAAAGTCCCTCTGAACTTACCCTCACAGGCATGTTTTTTTCTTACTGTGAAATGTTTTATCTCTAAAAGCCATCACCAGGTTTTGAAGGGACAGATTTGATAGGAGACTAAATTGAGCTGTGACAAGACAGTGAGATCCAGGGTGTGTAACCCCCGTGCATCCCAGGCAGGATTGCTTCCCCCGCTCCTGTTGGGAGGTTCCCGCGGCGGGAGGCTGCTCCCCGTACAGCTGCGGTGTCGCTGGGGAAGGCAGCGCTTCTCCGCCTGCCCCACTGCCCTGCGCCAGGGCCAGGGGCTTCTCCAGCACAGGGCGCTGGGGGTACGCGGGGCTGGGCATCGCACCCGGTTCTCACGCCGCTGTTGACCACAGCTGAGCCTCCACCATCACAAAATGCCTCGTACCTCTCCTTTGATGTTTCAGAAGGCCCTGGCATAACCTTACCTCTCACGTGGCGGATCAACGCTCACAGGGTCTGACAGGCTGAGTCTGCCAAAATAGTGACTGGCCCAACAGATTTTCCCAGTCGGCTCCTATTCCAGCTGTCTTGACGATTTTCTCTCCCTCCTTTAGTGCAGCTAGCCTGCAGTCACTATCAGAAAAATGACACAGACGTTGTTTGTGCAGTCATCTTTTATCAGGAGCATGAATTTCATCAAATTCTGTTTGCTGACATTCAATCACTTGTCACGGAGTAGGCACCAAGGGGTCGGCATCACGGTCACATCCCCGTGCCAGGCTTGTCACTTGCACTCTGCTTCCCCTTTGTGTAAATGCTCACTTCCACGTTGGTATCCTTTGCTCAAAGACTGGAGCGTGCCTTCGGGGCTGCTGGCAGCGAGCTGCAGCCCTGCTGTTACACAATATTGCGAAGCGTTCAGATCGTACCAGTCAGCCTAGCCTGCCAGAAACGAGAGCTTTTTTCCGGCACGCTCGGCAGACGTGGCGATAGGCGCCTGGCCCTGCCCGGCGAGCTGCCCGCTCCTTTTGCCGTCCCCGCTGACGGCGCCCGGGGCTGCATGGCACCGCGGGGCCCTAGGAGGTGTGGGGCCGTGCAGGCTCTGTGCACGTTAAGGCACCACGGGTGGGAAGGACCGACGCTCCGTCTGGCGACGGGAGCCGCCGTCGTCCCCCGTGTCGGTGATGGGAAACAGGCGCGGCTTTTCCAAACAGCCTGTGCTGTGTCAGGGAGGGACCGGGCACGTCGTGCTGTGCTTCCTTCAATAAGTACCCTGAATTGAAGTGGCCACAGTTGGAGGCCCCATTTGGTTTGTTTTTTTTTAAAAAAAAGCTTAAAAAAAGGGACTAAATGACAATAGATGAAGCTTCTTCCTCTGAGCCCTGTGTGTTAACCCTGTTTCTGACGGACTTGGACCCTTTCTAGGGGCTCTCCTGCCCGAGTTACTGCCAGGCTGAACCGCAAAACATCACCCTGGGAAGAACCTTTAAACCACCAATTTCCCCTGATTTATGGCTGTGCTTTGGATTCTCATTTAGTGCGCTATTAGCACAGGCGATGGCAATAGCCGGAGCTGGCTGCTGAGCCCCACAGCTGCTGCAGATGTTGTGGCAACTGGCAAGTTTCCCCCGAAGTGGTTTAATTCACGTTCAAGTTCAGCGTACAGCGCTGCTAGAAACAGCTCCCAGAGGTGAGCCAGCGCCACGCGGCACTGCCCAGGGAGGGTGGAAAGGTGTCACCACCCTCCAGAAGGGTCCCCCCTTACTTACCTGCCAGCAGCCCTCATCTGGCACTGGGGAAACGGAGAGAAATCATTTTCAGGCGAAGGCCGGGTCTGTAGTTACCATGTCCTAGAGCTGCGCGTCTTAATCAGCATCCCCATCCTCTTTTCTGCCTGAAAATGCCTCTGCTCCAAGGGGCAAATTTTCAGGTCTTCGGGTGTCCTTTCCCCTCGCGCGCCGAGCAGACAGCTCCCTGCCCGGCTTCTCCGTGCGCCCCGTCTGACCCCCAGCTGCGGTTTCGGCCAGAGGCAGACCCTGCCCTGTCCTCCTGCCGTGCCTGGCCGCGGCTCCCCAGCCCAGGCAGTGCCAGCGGCGCTGCCTGCGAGCTGCCTGCGCGCTGCCTGCAGCGCAGAGGAGGAGCACGCCATGGGAGAGTGCAAGCTGCAGTTTCTGCCTGTTTATTGCCTGTACACCCCTTGATTTCCATATTGCACCCACCCACCCTGAGGGTTAGGCAAGGGTGTGTTTGTAGGAGAGGCCCTCAGGCCCCTAGAGCATCCCAGGACTTCTATTTTTCCAGCTACCAAGGAAAGCAAGAGAGGGAGTTGCGGGTCTCAGCTGATCAAACACTGCTTTCCAAGGAAGGGAAAAACTCGTCCAAGTTTCGGTGAGACTCCACGCTTAGCTGGAACCCAAGCCCACAGTCAGTACACCAAGCATCTCATCCCTGCACTTGCCCAAAAAGCCTGGAAACCGTATTTTTAACTGTCACCTAGGGTATAAGCCAACTGTTAAAAACTCTTAGAGACACATATGATAAAAAGAGAAAAAAAAACAAAAAAATCTGCCTTTTGCTAAAGCGAGCACGGGGCCCAGCCAGCCCGTGCAGCCATGTGAGAGAGCAGGAGGGTGCCCGGCTGGCCAGCAAAAGGGTTGATCCTCGCGCTGAGGGCTCGGCCAGACGGTTCCCCGGAGGAGATGGTAATCATGATGGCAAACGGCTGGGCCGCAAAACGCTGCTGCCTTTCCTGCTTCCACTCTCCTCACGCCAGGAGAGCACGGGAGAGTATTTGAACGCTGGCTGTCCGTCTCATCGGGTGCCTGCGCTGCTCTGGGACCTTCCCTCGCTCAGCCCCGTGCTGACCCCTCTGCCCGCGTCAAAGGCTGCCCGCTACAGCAGCCCCTGCCCTTGGCTGCGGCACGGGCGCCCTTTCCTGCTGAAAGCCCCCTGCGCCATCAGCACGAGCCGGGTGTTCGCATCCCGCCTGTCCGGCCTCAGTGGCTCTTCCAGAGCCGGGCACCAGCACCCGCGTGTCCTATTGACCCCGACGGGCACGGGCAGACACTGCCCGTCAGCCCCTGGCCTTACCGCAATATAGTGCCTTAAAAACGCCAGCTTCTCAGCAATGCACAAAGTCGCTCACTTTAGCTCTGACTATTTCACTTTGGGGTTTTGGTGTTTTCTTCCCTACTGCATTTTTTGATTGCAGTAAAGCAAAAATTTGTTACTGACGTTCTGGAGGGCAAAGCGGGCCGGACGGCGTGGCGGGGAGGCGGTGGTCACCAGCCCCACCTCGGCGGGCGTGCAGATACCCAAAGCCGAGGCTGCTCAGCCTGGAGCAGCGCTTTGCCGCCCACAGCCTCAGCAAGTCGCCGAAAGCCCAGGCAAGGGTCCCGTCTTTAGGAGAAATGTGCTGCTCTTACGGGAACCACTGCGAGAGGAGCGGTGGGGGCAGCTGTCAGCAGGCAAACAAGCCCACTGTATAAATTCATACAAGCAAACCTCTGAACTTCCACAAACCAAAGAGCAAATAAACAAGTCTGAATAGCACAATGAGGGCTGTGTCTGGTTTGTACAATACAGAATTGCCATTTATTATTTTCACGTTGCCAATAAATAATTGCCTTTATGTAGCACAAGAAAAGTCAAAACTATATTCAGTGCTGCTGGATATGTAAAACTAACCCTTAAAAAAGCACTTAGAGCTGAAGGAGGCCACTGCAGCCAAAGTCGGAGTCTTTGTTCTTACCTCTTCTCCCTTTGTCAGCTGCCCTCAGCTTTCCCAGATGCTTTCTGGGATGACATTTGCAAAGCTTAGTCCCAACTCAAGACAAATCTGTCTGTAAAATAGTTTAAAAAAAAAGACTGCATCAACAATACTGTAGTTACGCAAAGGTTTTTAAAAATGGAGAAGGGTTGTGTTCAGATGACACAAAAACAAATTATGCATAAAACTTGCCTGGCTTTGACAAAAAAAATCTTTAAAATTTTGCATCTAAACTTGGCATGAAAATCCAGAAGACATGCAAGAGAGTCTAAACTGGTGGCATTTGGAAAATACAGGTTTCTGGCAGCAGCCGGTTTTGCCGGGTGGGCACCGAAGCACGCACAGGCGCACGTGGTGCACTGCACGGACTGCACGGGCCGCTGCCCTCCAGGCTGCCCCAGGCCCCGGCCATGCCGCTGTGGACGGCACCAGCCACCGGTGCCACCTTCCCGAGGGTGCCTCTGCCCCAGGCTGGCAGGGCCGGGCACCGTGGCTGGCCACCACCGGCAGCGCTGCCCGCGGCCACGCGGGACGGCTGCCCTGGCGGGTGGGGGTCTCCAGCGGTGGGGCTGGGGGAGGAGGGTGGTGGGGGAGAGGAGCTGCCTTGTTGCCGGCAGTGGTTTGGGCTGCCCGCACCCGTGGTTTCATGCCAGCGCCCAGAACAGGCAGGCTGCAAGCAGCGCCGCGTCGGCCCGGCGGTGCCGTGGTGCCGACTGCAGCAGGCAGGCGACGTGTCTAAAGACGTCCATGCCGACACCTCCCACCCCAACGGGCAGGGCCAGCGGATGGTACCAATCCTGTCTGGTGCTGACGACAGTGCTGCGTAAGGAATCCAGCTTCCCATGGGAGGTGTTAGGGATGGCAGTGCGGGAACAGGGCCTTGATGCCTTCCCATCATTTTCAATTCCTGCACATCAGCATCTACCCACGAATGCAAATATCCCTCATCCTACCAGCACAAGGTGGAAATGGACGGTCGCTAGCAAGAGGCGGCCGTCAGTGCACCGTGAGACGCCAGCACGGATGGACAGCAAAACGGAGCGCGCTGCGGTTGCAAACAGTCGTCTCTTTTATTATTCACACTGCCCTGGCCAGTGTTACTGCAGCTGCTGCGCTGCCAACTCATGCCCAGCACGGCTGACGGCATGGACCACGTGTGTGTCGGCAGCCAGAGAAGCCCCAGCCAGTTCAAGACATCCTATTGTTTGAATATGGTTACAAAAGTTGGATAGAAAATAAGAGGATAAACTTTAAATCAAATGGTATTACATTTAGCAAACTGATTATTTATTTTCCTGCGCTATGGCCATCTCTGCTCGCTGTCAAAGCCAAGATGTTAAGTTTTCACAGTGAATTATGAAATCATATACAAAAAGGAAAAAAGCAGTGACCTCACGTTGTGTGAAGAGACACGTCTTGGGGGAAACAAAAAAAGAAAAACAAAACCAGAGTGAACGCTTGGCTCATTAAGCAATTCTCCACCTCAGTTTATAAGTGCATCATGGATTCAAATTCATCGATTCGCTGTTTGGTGTTTCCTTTTCTAATCCTCCGGTAGGAGATTGTGTTGTATCTGGAATAGCTGTGTCTGGAGATATCATTTTTTTTCCCCAGGCTGGGCTGCTCCCCTGGTTTCTCCACCTGGGAGTTGCAGCCGGGGCTGGTTGGGGGAGATGCCTCCTTACCGCTGTCCTGCTGCTTTAGAGGGGATGCCTCGCCGTTCTCCTTCTTGATTTCAATCACCTGAACTTCATCCTCTTCAGTGTCCCCCTCCTCCTCCTCATCCTCCTCCTCCTCCTCCTCCTCCTCCTCCTCCTCAGCGGCATCCCCTCTCCCATCAGCGCTGGCTGCGAGGGTCTCTGCCGCCTCCCCGCCGGGGCTGGCCACCGTCCCCAGCGCTCGCTCCCCGCTGCCCGCAGGCGTCCCCTCGCTGCCCGGCCCTGCGGCAACACAGAGGGAGCGTGGGTGAGGAGGGGCTCAGCACCACCTCCGTGCCCCCGTCATACATGCTTTTGATGTAGCATCGCTCTTGGTGACTTGCCAGCTCCTGCCACCAAAGCACCCGCCCTCCAGAGGCTCCTGGTGAGGGGTGCCCCATGGCTGCAGGCTGACCCCCATCGCTACTGATGCTAGCAGGTGCTTTAGAAAGGCTCCGTACATTCTCCAGCTCACTGCTTAAGGCCACCTGCCCTTGCATTTTTAATGCCCATCTCTTTTGTACCCCCTTTCCCACGGAGCCCTCCCCACTACCCTCCTTTAAAAGGAGAGGCGATGCAGATGCCAGTGGCCGAGCCTGGAGGAGGGAGGAGCGGCACAGCATCCCCGCTGCGCCCCAGCACCAGGGGCACTGCCTCCCTGCGTGCCCCAGCTCTGCTCCTGCCCTCTGGGACCCACGGCTGGCAAACGTCCTACTGCAGGGCCCTGCTGCGGTGCCTTTCCAACGGCGTACCAAAGCTCTCTGGCCGTCGCCTTGGGCAGGCGCTGGACTCAATTAGCCAAACTCCCTGTTCTGGAGTTGCTGCCTCCTCCCTGCGGGGCAGACCCTGCCACGGGACCAGGGGTCCCCTCTCCGTGCTGCTCAGTGCCGGCTCTGCGGAAGGGAAGGGAAAGGGGAAAGGGGAAAGGAGAAGGGGAAAGGGGAAGGGGAGGGGAAGGGGAAGGGAGCCATTCTGCACGCAGCGCCCAGCTGTGCCGGCGCGGCGATGCAGCGGGACCCGGGCACAGCCCTCCTGGGACACGTCCCTCCTTCAGCGGTGGCTGCCCAGGCCAAGATGGCTATCTCCTGTTTGTCCTGTTTGGCACCTCTCTGCATTAAATGATCCTTTAGTGACGCAACAAATGGTCTATTCAACATTTTGCCTGTGGGGTCCTGAGTATTAATTAGACTAAATTGGTTAGGTACTAAAAAGCTGCCTGCAATTTAGAGATAAAGTGCTTGTGGCTGGGCAGGGTGGGAGGGAGTGCGGGGAGGCTGTGCAAGATCGTTTAATAGGTATTCTTGTGCGCTCATAAAGCAACACAGCTGGAATATGGATGTCGGCTCTGAGTGGGAAAGCCTCCACCGTGATTCACCTCCTCAAAGACCTTTGCAGCTGCTATGAAATATTATTTTGCCCATGACAAATGTTCATCTATTTTTTTCCTTTTTGCAATCAAAGTAAAGTTTCTGTTTACAAGGCATGGCCCATACATCTTTTAGAGCTACATTCAATGATGCTAGCTTTGCCAGCACCGTGACAGCTACTCTGGGTTGTTAATATCTGCTCTTCTCTGAGGAGGGGTTTCATATTTATGTGGCAGCTGACATACAGAAAATACCGGTTTATTGCAGCCAGGGGGATGTGTAAATGATGCGAGGGACCCAGCACAGCCGGGTGCCGGGGAGCCGGGGCAGAGCCGCCAGCCCTGCACCCCAGCCACTGCCAGGGTCGCTGCGGGGGGTGGCCTCAGCAGCCCACGGCCCAGCCGTCCCTCGGCCCGCAGTTGCCAAAACCAACGAGCCGGGCAAGGAAATGTGGGTAGGAAATGTGAAAGGGCGGCAGCAATGCCGAAAGCCCACCCATGGAGAGACGCAGCTTTCCTGCTTTAATAATATTCAATAACACTCCTTTTTGGAGGAGGGGCTGCATTTTGCATAGTATCATTAAATACGTTCAGCTATGTGTATATCCATTCAGTGCATTTTGACGTGCCGCCGGGAGCGGGCAGCGAGCACCCCGCAGCCCTTCTCTCCGCCGCGGGCAGGCGCGAGGTCCAGCCTGGGCGCCCACTGATTTTTACCATTCTCACCTAGGAGCGAGTCAAGAGGCCCAGGAGCAGATGTTTAGGAGAGCAGACAATTTTCTGCTGGATACTTGGGCGCCGGGGGCATTTAGACACTTGGGGAATCAGGCAGGAAAAGAGTTTGGGTTTGGAGGCTGCACATTTTTGACTGACAGCCTCCCGAGGTTATCCTCTGAGCTCCCTGCATGGAGCAGAAGATAGAGCATCTCCCAGCCTCACGGGGCTGTTGGAGATCTCCTGGTCGAAGACCCCGCGGTGCTGCGATAGCCCATGGTAATGGAGATAGGTGCAAACCTCAGGAAGAGAGGTACGAGCCGTGTTTTCTAAGATGCGGCAGCTCTACTGATGAGAAATGAGTCACTGCTCTCCAGAATCTAAGGGTCCGACCGAATTAGAAAAAAATGACAACCACCTGTATGTCATTGTCTTTGAAGGCTACTCATTGCTATGCTTCAGGAAAACCTCCCATCACACAGCATTTTCCATTACCTTCCTCCGATTCCTGGCCATCGGTCCCCGTGTCCTGGATATCAGCTGATCCCTGCTGTAGCATCCCATCGCTTTCCTCCCGCTTTTCTTTAGGAAACACAAAGCACAAGAAATGGACTGATGGAGCAGTTAGTGACGATAATTAGGTTTTAATGGTTGCAGATTGGCAGCAGATTTTCAGAGCAGATAAAAAAATTGCTCATTTATTTAGTCACATACTTTTCATTGTATCCTGTGTAACTGCTAGCTCAAATTTGTCCCTCAACTCTGAATTACTCTGAGTCATCGTTAAAACCACCATAGGTTAGGATTTTCGACTAACACACATAGTACATCCCATTATTCATAAGGCTAAACATAAAACAGAGCTTTTCTTTCTAAACACTTCAAGAAAGGCAGCCTTGTACTTTACCTTTGCATTGCTTCTCTCCATCAAAATCCCCACGTACTATGTCCTCTGCCAAAGAATTTCTATTTTCCTCCTGATTTTCTTTCGCAGGTGGAGCATCAGGGCTCATTTCTGCATTCGCGTAAGGAACCGTCCCGACAGAGTTTGCTATTTCATCGATGACACCCATGAGCTGGAGTGGGCCCTTCTCGGCAGGTACGCTCCCATTGCACTCGGGCATGCTGGATGGCGCCGGGACTTCTTCTGTCATGCTTAGGGCCGTGCCGTGCCCGCCGACCAGGGCCGTGCACCTCCAGGGGCCCCGCTCCTACACCCCGGGGTGGGGAGCGCTGCGCCTCACCCCTTCCCCGGGGGTTTTGTTCCCCTGCTCAGATGGTCAACGCGCGCCTCCTCTCCTGCGGGCGCTGCAGCGGAGCAGGGTCGGCGGTCGCACCATCAGATGTGCCGAGGGCTTGCCAGCGGGCTCTGGCCACGGGGCGATCCAATCAGCACCTCGCTTGTTGCTGAGGCTCATCCCGTTGCATAATTAAATGCACCATTTTAATTTACATAAACAAACAATCTGAAGCAAGGAAGCTTTTGTGCTGGCATGGAGAGCGGGTCTTTCAGCATGTCAGCCCCGTGGTAATAAACAGAGGTTTTGTACTCCCGGCACAATGGCTCCTTGTGTCCCCGCCTGGTCACAGGGACGAGGATTGTTCTGACCCCTAATCCCCGGAGGGTGACCACCTTCCCTAGCGCGCCGCCACCTAACCCGCTTAACATTCCCCATCGGGTTTGTGTGCCGATAAACCTCGCCGTGCCGCTGGCCGGACAATGGACGCTTTCTGTACTTGTCAGGGAACAAACCGGCGGGTCGGAAGGGCACATGCCCCGCACACGGCGCAACGCCGCACTCCTCTGCCGGCCCGGCCACGCGTGTTGTACAGGCAGGGCCACGGCCTGCCAGACGCCGAGCATCTGCAATTGCCTGCTGAGTGAAATGCATCCCAAGGGCTCGGCCCTCAGGGACAGAACTAGATGAAAAACAAAAGCACAAGCCAAAGTGATGTTTTGTGCCGAGATGTGAAGTGAGGCGGCAGGTCCCTGAGGCCGAGGCCGGCAGGTGCCGGGAGGCTTGGTGCCCACCGACGCCCCGGCCAGAGCCCCGCAGCACCCGGGCAGGGCAGCGCCGCGCTTCCCCTCCCACGCCCACGGCACAACCCCCGGGTGCAGAAGCAGCTTCTGGCCATGGCAGTGGAAACTCTCCTTAAAGGAATATAAAAGGGGCGAAGGATGAGATTAGCACTTGCATTGGTGATTATCAGTCGGACCTATAGCTAGCAGGAGCAAGAGGGGAACGTTTCACCGAGGGAAGCAGGAGGATCGCCCGAGCAGCACCGGGGCATTTACTGACCACAGCTGAACTCGTCTCAGCCCCGGTGCCCAAAGCCAGGTTTACGTAAGAGTGTAATCTCCTGCTGTGAAGGACTTTTTGTGTTCGTACAATACAACATTTTTGACATCTTTGGGCTTTAGGATTTGGAAATCCTCTTGTCGAGCTCAGACCTTGATTAGAAATGGACCCAAAGCCTTTCCACTGGTTTTGTTCACCTGTGAGTTTGCATCTTTAAATCAACAACTTTTCATCATTGCTATGAAAATGAGTGAGTTTGGTGTAATTGATTTATAAAATCAATCCTATGCTGGAAAAATTTGTCCAAGAAAAATGGATGATGAGGTTTGAAAGTGAGTCAACACCAAGCAGCGGTAGGTGCCCTCAGGAGGAGAGGCTGGGTACCCGGCACGGGCTGGTGGCTGGAGAGGAGGAGGTTACTTTCTATTCTTATCAAGCTATTTTTCCATATCCCTGAGATAATCCGAAGGGCCCTGCAGGCGATGTCTCATTTGGCAGGTCCTGTCCTGAAAAAGGTTTCATGGCTGGGACTCACCTGAGCACCCCTGCTGCAGCGCCAGCTCGGGGCTGTGCCATTAAGGTACCCGTGAGACCAGTAAGCCGTGGGTGATGGAGGCAGCGCCGACCCGGGGCGCATCAGCCAAGAGGCAGCCAAAGGCCCGCACTGCCCGTCCGTGCCGTCACACCTCGCTTTGCGCAGCCCCGCAGCCCCGGGCAGGGGAGCCATGGGGACGTCCCCCACCGCCCCGCACGGGCCAGTCCGGCTCATCACTGACCCGGCAGCGGGCGCGAGGGCAGAGCGGGGATGCGGCCATCGCACGGAGGCGAGGGGCCACGGCCACCCCGGGACAAACTCCCAGCCAGGCTTCAAATTTGAAATAACCCAAAGCTGAAAACATGGCACCAGGCCTGACAAGTGGGGAGCCTTGCTGAGCGGGGAGCCACATCGGCTCCCACGGGGACGGGGACGGGGACAGGTCCTGTCCCCATCTCCCCAGGAACCTGCCTGCCTGACTTCTTGATTGCAAAAAGATATTGAAACAATTTCAGGTATTTCCTGGTGCCATCTATTGGTTACACAACCAATTCTCAACAATTCACTTTTTCCCAAATGAGCGCCTCGCGGTTGAAGCACGATTTGCATGAATCTATTATAAATCATTTTCCGTGTGACCTTTAATGCAGGAAGTTTCCATTCAAGCTACCCTTTGCTAAAAATTTTTCAGAAATAGCACCTGGGATTTCAGAGGCGTTGGGGCACAACAGGGATTTGAAAGTCGGTGAGGTGGATCATTAGAGCCACAGCAATTCCAATTCATTCCAGAAATAGGAAGAGGCCGCCATGGCAGGGCGTTGGCAGGCTGTTTGCAGAGCTCTGTAGGCTCCTCTGTCCTTAACTCTCTGCTCCCCAATTTCTGCTCCAGCCACAGGTTTCCAAGAGCAGCCCGTGCACGCGCCTGGCTGCCCAGGGGAGCACGTGCACCGTGCACGGGCACTGGAGGGCTCCAGAGCAGAAGCCACGTAACCCAGGGTCACCGTGGGAGATGCAATGCCACCCAAAAGCTGGGGCAGGATGACAGGCACGGTGGCACCGGAGGCAAACGTTCCCACTGCCGCACACAGCCAGGAGGGATTACATTTCACTTGAACGCCCAGAGAAAAACTCCTGTGGATCATGTCAACAAACTACAATCAAGCATTTCCATTTTGTCAGCACAAGATAAATACCTTATGTTTATGAAAAAACGTACCTGGGGATTCCTCTTCTATAGAAAATGTCAGAATTTTATCTTTTCACCCAGCAGAGGAATGAAAGGAAAGGTGGAGACATCGGCGTCCCCCCTGGCAGAGCTACGTCAGGCACCAGCCAGCCCTTGCGTGTCCTCAGGGCCGGGATGCTGCTGCTGCTGCTGCCCCGGTTCTCCCGCTGCTGCCCGATGCTCCCGCTGCTGCCCCCGGCTGCTGCCCCGTTTCTCCCGCTGCGGCCGGATGCTCCCGCTGCTGCCCGATGCTCCCGCTGCTGCCCCGGTGCTCCCGCTGCTGCCCTGATGCTCCTGCTGGCCATGCTTGGCTTCCGAGGGGAGCTGCAGGAGGAGCAGCGTGTTTCCTCTGGAAAACAGGAACACATGCCAGAGCGATGCAGCAAGGGCACACTAGTTACAAACCATGGGCACATGCAGAGTAATTCAAGTTTTGACAGTGTTAAAAATAGGCAGCTGCTGCTTTCTTCCTGGCAAACGCTGCACAAGGAGCCCAAAGGGATCGCTGGTGAGGGGAGAGCGGCTCCTGCCTGTTTGAAGGCATTTGCCCGCACAGGTTGCTGTCCCCGGACCATCCCCAGGAGCTGAGGGGCTGCCGTCACCCCCAAATCATCACGGTGACTGAGAGTCTTGAAGCTGCTCGGATGCTGCAGCATCCCCAGCAGTGTTTCTAAGCAGGCAGAGTTCACAGCTGGACTTGGAAAAAGGAAAAAGTAGCTGCGGGTTCCTCCCACCACAGGCAGCTATTTATAAACAGAGCTGGGCAAAACCACCTCTCGAGGCTAGGAAAACGTTTCATTTGCACAAACCTGAGGTGGTGTGATTTCTGCCTCTTTAAGCTTTTAAAAAAAAGAAAAAGGCTGTACTGAAAGAGCAAAACTTTACGGAAGCAATTCAGGCTGCGGCGCTTTCCCAGAGCAGAGCGTCGCCAGAACAGCCCTGCTCTCCGCTCTCCCGGACACTGCCACCTGCGCTGGAGAAGCTCCTGTCCCCACCCGCCCGCCCACCCCACCGGGGCATCTCTCAGCC